GCAATAGGTGATAGTGGACTGGACTCAGAAATGAAGATGCTTCCGTTATGGTTTATAACATTTTGGAAGGCACCTGGTTAAAGAAGTGGTGTGAGTGGACTGGAATGATCTGTAGTTCTCAGCACTCAAAAAATACCTTTGACCATATGGACCCTATGACATTTAACATACATGCTTTACAAGATGTTTCATTTGCATAGAGAATGTATGAGAAGCCTGACTGGGAGCAACTCATGGTTCATGCATTGCTCACTCACAGAAAAGAGCAGAAGCACCTAGTTTATATCATGCACCCTCATGTCCTGGGAAGGAAAACCTGCTGGTAAAGGGAGAAGAGCCAGAGATATGCAGAAATGGCACCGGTTATTTGGTCTGTGTCGCATCCATAAGCCAGAGGGAAAAGCAGCTCCAGCTCAGAGAAAGAACTGGTTGCATATACTGTGCCAGGTGACATTTTGCTCTCCCAAGCTTCTGGCACTGAAAGATATTCATATATTTACAACCTTTCTTAAGGTCATCTCTGCTGTGTTTCCAGCTGAGCCATTAAATATTAATTGGATCTGCTTTCCAAAAATAAAAAGCAGAACCTCTAATTTACTTGTGTAATTAACACCTCCCTCAAACCAGGTGTCCTCCTGAACCAGACCGAACACTTCACAATCCTGAAATATGCCATGTGCTTTTGAGACAAACACACAGTTGCTTGTTCATTCTGCATGCACAAGTGCACATAATTATTTTGGGGAAATAAAGCCTCAGATACAACAGAAAATACTCCCTCTAGGTGATGTAGTCAAACATTCCTACTCACACAGGATTGTTCTCTTCAGGTTGGATTTTTCGGGTTTTTTAAGCACTTTACCTGGATGAGTTTGAACATCTTGTCACAGGTCATTTTATTCAACAAGGCTCAAAGCTGCTAAATTTCTCAGAGAGCTCAATTTTTAACCCATAGTTGTAAAGAGCACAACCACTCTCTGGTCCTATAAGAGCACTTGCTTTAAAGAACTTTGGTTCCCACACCCTTAACCACATAATAAGCCTAACATTACAATTAGCTTTGAAATATAAGTTCAGTACCACCACTACTCGTGTTAAGACAAGGTAAATATGTATTCAGTAATCACCGAGCTGCACAGATTATTAGCAGAAGTTTAGTAGGTGCTGGTTTACCCAGATGAATAACATGCCTGCTATTCACTGAGGCTAACAAATTTGTGGAGTGGCACGGAACTAGAGGTCCTCACTGCTCAGCTGCCATCGAAGCTCAGAGACACATAAGCTTCCAGTGTCACACAACTGAAAAAAACTAGTTTTGTTTTTTGCACTTGGAGCGAAGCACACGCATCTTGTCAGGATTTAGCAGGCTGGGATCCAGCTCCTACCTGAGCCTTTTGGGAATCTCTAGTCTAAGTACTGCTTCACCTTTATTGCCTCAGAAACTCAGTCTGACTGTCAGTCTCAGAGCTTACCTGCAACATAGGTGCCAGGCAAAAAAAAAAAAAAAGTTTCTATTTTCTTTGGAAGAGGTGACTCTCTTATAAATAAATGTCAGAGCACTCACCTAGGAAGTGGAGCATGTAGACTCTCTTCCTTCTTCTGTAAAGGCAGATTCAAACCTCCATCCTGGATCTCACCAGAAAAATACTCAAATCATCAGGCTTGGAAATGCTTTGGTGGAGGTGTATTAAGAACATGTTGAAGTTTAATGTCACCTTAGCTTCATAGACTAATTAAAAGTTTGTTGTTCTGCAGAGTTTGTACTTTGACTGCCATTGGGATGAAAGGGTCGCCCAGGGAAGGTGCAGTCCTCAACTCCAGACTCTACATCCAAAATACAAGTTTGGAAGACAGGAGAGAACTTTTTTGCTGATTCAGATTGCAACCAGTAGCTTTTTGGGTCTGGGTGCTACCGCTCTGAGGAAACAATGCTTCTCTTGCATACTCTTAACAACTGACCATCGTTTTTCCTAAGCAGCCACAGGTGAGTGACAGCTCCTTCTATCATGTAAGATGTATGTTCTCACCCCCAGCATGGCTCTAAATCCCTTAATACTTTTTGCAGCATCCCCAAAAATGGGGACAAAATGTCATTTCCCCCTACCTCTTCTGTCCCCAAATAAGCCAGAGTATGGTGCATGAAGCACCAAGCTAAGAGGAGTTCAGCCTGCACCAGGAAGCTGGGGGAATGAACCCGAGACCTCGCGCTGAATGCTTCCTGCTGGGTTAGAAGGGTAGAGCAAACCCTTCTCTGGTGGGCAGGGGGTGGGGAGAAGAAGGGAGGAAGAAAAATTTACCTGCAGAACTGGCTGTCCATGCTGAGCAGAGGAAGATGCCTTCTGGTAATGCTAAACGAGGCACTTCAACTTCATTGCAAATGAAGATGGAGAGCACTACAGCTGTCCTTGCCCTTCCTTAGTTTCTGGTGTCTTTACATTTGGAGCATGCTGTAGACCTTAGCTTCCTAGTTCTCTATGGAAATGAAATCTAAAAGCTGTCCTGGAACACCCAGCACAGGCTCCCCTGTGCTGTTTCTCTCCCCGCCCCCTGCATCAAGACCTAAACACCTCTGGACATGTTCAATGCTTTGTGAGGTTGAGTGGTATTGTAAAGTGTGTGCATGACAACACCCTCAGCTGGCACGAATAAGCTTCATCAATTAACTTAATAGCAGATGTAGCAGTTTAGTTATGTCCTGTATTATATCTTTAAAATGTGGCTTATAGTTTAATAAGGCTAGAAGTTTATTACTGTAATAGCTTTAAAGTTGTGGGTTGTTTATTTTTTTTTTCCTCCTCTGCTATTTTCTTGGTGCTAGGATAGAAAAAATCAAAGTAAAGCTTTATTTAATTTGTATGTCTTGGAGGTGACAATTTAATACACTTAACTGTATGTAACGCATTTCTTTCTTAAAGTGAGCACCATTTTGTTTAGGAAACCAAAGGTAAGGTAACAATTGTAGGTATCATTAAACTCATGTTTATTCACAGATAAATGCTGTAGTCTATCAAAACATTTTGGCACAATACTGACTAAAAATAACTGAAAATTTAGCATCCCTCCCACCCCCCACAGAGATATCTGGTCCTTATGTTGCAGCTGAAATGAAAGACTGCAGCATCAAGTTTTGGGGAGGCACGTGGAAGCAGAAAGAAAGATAGTAAAACTAGAAAGATTCCACAGACAACTTTTTTTTTTTCTGAAATACTGTATTTACACAAAATTGAAGAGAGTACAAATACTTTACTAAGAAGACAAAACCATTATAGTACATTCAATTTAAACACAGGCAGAACTATAGATGCAAAACACAGAGGCCTAAGGTACTTGCATGGCAAAAAAAAAAAAAAAAAAAAAGCATCAGAAAGGCCTCAGAGATTCAAAGCAGGAAATAAGGAACATTGTATTTGTTACGCAGCATCACTTTTCCTTGACTTCAGTGGGATAAGGTGCTCTCCTTCTTCCTCATCATGGATGGTAGGAATAACCCTCTCAGTGTGCTGACTGCTCATCACTGATTTTACAAAACAGTTAAGCATGTACCTAATTTTCAGCATAGGAATAGAGCCATTAACTTCAAAGGAAATTATACTTGTGCCTAATCACATGCTTATATGCTTAGTTTGACCAGGAAGAGCCTTCTCAATGCTTAATAGGGTTGAGTCCATTTTTACATAAAAAATAAGTGTTCTTTACTGTCTCCTTTCATTTCTTTTTTTTTTTTCTTAAAATATATTTTAGAATTGCTTTAAGTTTCCCCTTATGTACTTGATTAGAAAATAGTAGTTTATTGAATGCCATAGAATATTTTGAATCATGTCTTATATAATCAAAGGAATATTGTTCAAAAATAATTCCCACATTTTTCAAAAGCCTGTTCAGATTCAAAAATAAATAAAAGAGAAAAATACATATAATAATAAAGCAGCTTTGTGTTTCTGGGCATTTGGCAGCAGGTCTGCTATAATATTTCTCAGACATCTCTTGGTATCAATTAAAATCACCAGATCAATTGATCATTATAAAAGAAAAGATTGTACAATATTACATGGTATTATTACAATGCACCAAATATAGCCAATGCATGAAATATTTTACACATTAAAAAGAATTCATATATTTTAGCCTGTTCTTTAAAAACTGATAGCTTCTGAAGTAATATATCTTAAACACAGTGGTATATGTCACTTCTACTCTCTAAGTGATTTCTTTTTTCTGAATAAAAGCTTGTTTGAATAGGACTACTAGCTCAGTGATGGAACTACAGTGCTATTTAACTAAATTCCATATATGTCTTCATTACAGTTGCTGCAATTATTGTAATCACATACCACTGAAGTGCTAAATATTAGTAACTCAGATATGTGGACTTTGGTTATGCTTGATAGAATACTGGCATATCAAATATATGTACCACTTCCTAAAGGCTATGTTACAATCATGATGCCTAGCAATAAATAATAATAATAACAATCTCGGATTCAAAGTGCTGACCCATATCACTCACTTGAGGCACCAATACAATAAATCAATCAATTAAAAGACTTATTTGTAATGTTTGAAACTAACAGAGCAGATCCAGGGCTGCCAGGTTACATGCGCAGCACGGAGGACTCTGAACCTCTCCTTCCAACCTGGGGATTCCTGTGGTCCCAGAAGACGCTGGAATATCACATCTGATGTGGGACGCTCCAAAATATACCAAGTCTTCAGACATGAAACATTAAAAGCTCTCTAGGCTTCTCTAAAGCCTCCAAAGGCTCGCTTAAAACCGCTCCAGCCTACTCCATTCACTCAGGGACGAGGCTTTTGCCGTATATTGTACTTGGCTGCAGACCAGGGAAGAGCCTTTCATGAAAGTCCACAATGAAATGCATCGCATTAATGCAGCTTTCACACCCTGGAGACACTGTCACCACTGTCAGCGTGAGAGGGAAAAGGCAGCTTTCCAGCAGCAGCAAAACCCCTGGCTCACTGGAAGGGGAATGCTTTTCACGTCGTTAGTTTGTTCTGTGCAAGCAGTAATCGTTTTCGGTGTCGAGAGAGCTGTTGTACCCCGACGAGGGATACAGGTCCCTCTTAAGTATCCTATTGACGATGTTGATTAGAACTTTTTTGTACTGTTGACGTAAAAGCGAGTAAACAAATGGATCTGATGCAGCCTTACTGTAGGTGAGGCACTTGCTTATAATTCCCCAGTAGTAATTTATGGTAACAAAAGGAAGGAGCTCTATCAACCTGTTAAACATTAAAGAGAGATGGAAACATTTGAGTGTTATATTCACACAGAGCCCAGTGCTAAACTCATGCTTCATGAAACATTAAAGCAACACTTATTTTCTTACAGTACACGGTCCCTGCAGGAGAAGGGCCCTGACTCCTTGGATTCAACAAAGGCAAAGGGAACTTTTCTAGTAAGGCCACTGGGAGACAACAATCATTCCCACTATAGAAAGAGAGAAAAATTGTGTTCTCAATGTTAATGCTCCCGTGTATTGGAGATAAGAAAGTGCTGCAGTTTATTGCTCATTTTCTGAATTTAGAGACTTGTGCTAGTAAGAGGACAAAATCTTGGTGACATAATTGACTACCCCTCTCCCATGGCAAGCTTGAGATGGACGCATGTGATTTGGAACATCCAGGTTCACTCAACTCATTGCCTAAGTACAGCTCTATAGTGACACTTCAGACATTTGAGCATAACCCACTTGGCATCAGGCTGCTGCTCCTGGAAGTTGTGGGTCTCCTCTAGCTCCTGTGCCATATCTGCCAAACTATGTAGAGGTTTTGGGTACTATGCAGCGTCTCAAATGACACCAGAAATCTGGTCTAGATGACTGAATCCACCCCCTCAGATACAGAGCAGTCAACCTGCATTACACCACTGCTGTGAATGCAAAGAGGCTTCACGTTAGACTGTTGTTCATACAACACCACGGCAGTGTCTCAGAGAGATTGGGGTGGCACCTGCAATCCCATAGTATGCTTAGGAGCACAACTGCATCTATTTACCTGGGAAAGTTTCTGTGTGCACTTGGCTGACCTCTAGTTTGGCCAAAGATAACAAGGAGGCAACACTTTTATCATCATTATATGACCTGCCAGCTGTCTCTGGACCTGTGTCTCCCAGTCTGTGCTTCACGGATGATTAGTGGCCTCAGCACCTCAGTTGAGATGGGTGTATTAATCATGGGTGCAGAAACTGCAACTAAGTTAAACAATTTTTCCACAGAAGTGAGCGCAAACCTCCAGACTATTCCAGCTAATGTCTGGCATATACCTCATCTGCAGCGGGCAAACTCTCCAGGAAGATGGAAAGAACAGGGTGAGAAGTATTAATTATCTGTACATCTTTTGGGAAACTTTTTTCAGGAGCAAGAATATACTATCTTGCTATATTCATTCCAGAAGAAAAAAAAAAAAAAAAGTACCGTGAGATAAAACAGCCCTTTTCTGTACCCTAAAACATCGCTGTTTGAAGATGTGAGACCAGAAGCTTTCTCAAGGCTTGAAGAATCTTTGGCCTCTTTCCAAAGTGCAGAGCTCCCAACTTGCAGGGCGTTGACTTTTGAAGCTGTTCTGATCCCTCCGCATAGCAATGCTGACTTACCAACACTAGGACTGAGCATTGCAACAAGTGGTTGAACTCTGACAGGAAAATTTCTCATTTGTATGCGTAAAAGTGAAATCATTCCTATGGCAAGTGCGTTTAAAAACCTGATGACTTCTGTTTGAAGCTGCTTGGAAGAAAATTCCAGTGAATTCAAAACAGAAAGCACATGAAGACACAAAATGTGAGGATTAAATAAACGTATCAGACACAAAATGTGAGAAATAAATAAATGTACAATAAATGACACTTGCTTCATGGTTGCTTAGGTTTATCCCATCCTGTATATCATCCTAATACAAGAAATATGCATTTGATATTTACACAATTGATGTTTTTATAAAGACATTAAATAAGAAGAGTAAGGTATCTTTCTGTCATGAAAACAGATGTATTACTATGTGTTCCTTTAGTGTATTATGGGCCCAAACAGAATTGCACTGAAATCAACAGAAGAAAAGTTACACAGATTTTAACAAGATAACGGGCCTGACCAAATCAAGTCAGCCTTAGAAATATCCATCTGAATGCATCTTAGTATCATTTTCTTCTTTTCAGTGCTGTTACAGAAAAGCTGAAATTCATCTGTCGGCTCTTAGTGAACAGACGAATATATTGCTAATGATCATAATCTCATTCATATTTCTAAAATGAGGAGCTCACAACGCAAACTGAGTCACCAGGCCAAAGAGCAAGAAAACAGAGGAGGAAATCTCTCACATTGCCTCCATAGAGATTACTTTAGTGCCACCTCTCTAAAAACCAGAATAGGGGAGGAATGCAGAAACGAGCATGGCAGCAAGTCCTCCAAACTCACTGCCACCAACACCTTTTATCTAGTGCTGCCTGGACACCGTCTTGCCTTTGGGACAAAGAGCCTTTGAGGATGTCCTCCCCAAATACTTCCCATTTTCCTTGCACTGAACCACCTCGGGTGTTTGTGACTGAGACAGATGCTGTACCTTGACACACACGTTTATATAAACCAACTCTCAGTCTTTGCTCTAGTGACACATGAGATACCAGTTTGTCACACATAGAAAATGCACCATCTCACATTTGCCAAATGTAAGGTCTGAAAAAGGAAGTCACTTTTGTTTTAGAAGTTTATGAGGTATCCCTTCACCCTGAAAAATGTGGCAATGCTGAAATTTGCTGAGCTCGGTAATATTCAGATGGAAAGAAGATGGCAAAATCCACTTTGCTCAATATAATTATATCCTGATTATGGCAAAAGTGAATAGAAAATGACTCAGAATGTACTGAACAGTGATCAATTAACCTTTTAACTCTGTGATGTAATGTTAATATTTGTAATAATCCTTTCAACTGCAGAAAAAAAATGCAGTTATCTAGGCAATCAGTCAGGAATCCCTTTCAACACATAAATGGGAACTGAAAGAAATGTCATCCTAAAGGTTAAAAGACATTGCTGTTTTTGTGCAACTGGCCTCAATCTATCCCTCTACCCGTGTAAGAAAAGGGCAATTACAGTGATCATAAGTGGCCTATATGTATGTGACTGCGTAAGATCAGTGCTCTAAAGCTGGCCAATTTCTGTAAGCTGGTGTGGCTGCCGACGCTGGCAGCTTGGCAGCAACCTTGAGAAAGCTGTCACCAGCGTGGTTTTGCAAAGACTAGTGAACCTTCCTCGACAGAAGTCAGTTCTCTTCAAGTGTGTCTTGAACACACTGTGAAGTGGGAGATATTTTAAAAAATCACTGGTGAAAGATGTAGCTCATTTCAGTTTAGAGATGAAAGGCTAAATGCTGAGGTGCTGCAATTCAGTAGAGTTACATTGGCTTCCAGCTCACTGATTTATGCAAGATTTAAAAATAATAACCATATGTTGTATAAAGACTATGCAAGTACGGAATGAGAATGATACGTGACTATTTAAAAAGGTGCAAGCCACCAGGGTGGCTGCCAAGGATTCTGACCAGTTGAGGAGCATGATGTTGCCTATACATTTTATTCTCAGTTTTCCTGGGAGATAACTCTTACACCTCATCACAAGGCCCTGCCGCACCCTGAGCAATATATTTACAGACATTAATGTTTCCAGACACAAAGCTTATCTGACAAATTATCAGCCTGTATACATTTACATTATGTCACCTCAGCTTCTAATAGCAGCAAGTTTGGCCTTGTGCCTTTAAAAAAAAGACCTGAGATAATCAGGAAAAGCTGCCTGCTTTCCTCTCTATTACTCAGGTTGTGCTAATAAGGAAGGGTGGCGAGTCTTTTAAACTGCTTTCAGCTCCCACTGGCATGTAATTAATTCCTGGTACTTGTCCTAAAAGCCTCTTGCTCTTGGCAGAGGCGCACAGATCTGGCTGCAAAGAGGAAAGGAGAGCCAGAGGCTGCCTAGCCTTTGCCCAGCGGGGTGGGTGTGCAGGCAGGAACGGCCCCCGGTTTCCGCCAGGCTCTGGCACCCCAAAATGAACTGTAGTTCCCGTGAGGCACTTGCGCATCAAGAGGGCATACTGCTCCCGGGAAGTCCCCCACCCCAACAGGCGATACTAACCTGGTGATAATGTAAGGACCAAAACAGATCACGAACGACCCTATAAAAATACTGATTTTCTTGGTAGCCCGCTGCCTCCTCCGTTTCTGCTCGTTAAGACAGCGCTGCTTCACACTGCAAAGGGAAAAGAGCAGCCGGTGGGTTAAGGCAAGAAGCGAAGAGGCGAGCTGTGAGCCCGGGGGCGAGGGGAAGGACCCGCTCCCGGCCGGAGAGCCCCTGCCCCGAGGAGGGGAGGGGAGGAGAGCCCCTGCGTCGGCCCGGGACAGGGCGGGCAGCTCCCGGGGGAGGTGGGTGGGGGGCGGGGGGCAGCCCCGGCTCCGCCGAGCCTGCGGACGATCGCACTCACTAAAGCAGCTGGTCCCTGTTAAAGGGACCTCGGGCGAGTGGGAGCACACGGCGAGCGGGACTAGCATTTAAACAAAGCGGGCTACACATGCACAAGCCACCGTCTTCAGGCATTATAAGCAGCGTCTAAAACTAGAGGCAGAAGGGTTGGCCATGTGGCTGGGGCAGGCAGGGGCTCAGGAAAGGGTGCCGGGGAGGCAGGACATCCTCTCCGCCCGGGGTACCTACCGCGAGTGCCCCGGGGCTGTGAATACGAACATGCAGGCATTACCTGGGGTGGATATCCACCAGCAAAACCAGAGTCTGCATGGTAATAATGTCTATCCGCTTGCAGTGGAACCGGGCAACTTTCAACACCTTTAAATAGGTGAAACACAAGATCACCAGCGACAGCATGAAACTGGTGGAGTGAAAGACGATGGTGAACACTGTAAACCTCCTCCGCTCCGTCTCTTCCTTCAGGTGCAAGGTACAAGAGGCATAAACGCTGTTGTAATCTACCCACGAGTAAAACAAGGATACCAAGGGGAACGTGAGGGAGTGGAGCCACGAGTAGCCCATGAGTATCACAGCGTCCTTATACCGCATCTTGCTGGTGTAGCTTAAGGGGAACACCACGGCAATCCATTTGTCGATGCTGAGCGCTGCCATGCTCAGCATAGTGTTGGAAGTCAGGAAAGTTTCCAGGAAACCCACCGCTTTGCAGACGCAGCCCCCGAGGGGTTGCTGGTTCCTCAGGATGCCCAGCAGGGTAAAAGGCATGTTCAGGACGGTGAGGAGCAGGTTGCAAAAGGATAAGTTCACCAGGAAAATCCCGGCGACCTGCTTGCGGATCTCCGTACTGTAGACGAAGCATAGCAGCACCAGGAGGTTGGAGAGCAGAGAGACGACCAGCACCAGCACGAGGAGCAACGCCAGCAGCACGCCTGCCAAGTCCATCTCTCAGCGGGTCGCCT